GGCAGACAAGAATTGAGAAGTACGGGATCTAAGACAAGGTGAAGCTGCAGTTCAGACAGTTTTTAGGCTGCAGTGAAAAGGGAAAAAAAAAAAAAAAAAAAAAAAAAAAAAAGTACCATTGTCTGGAATGCCAGCCATTGAAAAACAAAAGAGAAGAAAATCCTTGCAGCAACTGAAAATGGAGAGGATGGAAACAGACCTGTTGCATTAGGGCAGTAAAATTTCCTGGCTACAAGAAGTTAGACCTCAGGTATCATCTGTACTGAAACTATAAAGAGCACGAAATGAGAATGCCCTGGCTAAGACATTTGCAGAGTGAAATGTCTTCAGTGTTTGCAAGCCGTCTAACAAGAGGTGAATAAAACAGGAGTTTGAAACTGGAAGCCTTTTCTCTTTTCTTTTCTGGAACCGCTTCTCTTTTTCTGCTGGCCTATGTTGGCTAAGCGAAAGATCTGAGAAGGCTGGCTACAAGTCCCAGGAGGTCTCTGGGGAAGGTTTCTGAGTGTACTATTCCTGCTTAATTTGGGCTGCTCAAGCGGGTCCTGATCCCAAAAACATGTGGACATAACTGAGACCTTTTTGCTTAGTGCATTTAATATTACACCAGTGGCCTGTATAAGGATTTCAGAACGTCACATGCCTACACTGCTCAGAGTTTGGCTATTTCGGTGATTTCACTGACTAGGGTGTGTTTGGAAGTATTATCTCACTTTTTTTTTTAAAAAAAAGTGACTGTGAAAATAATACAATTGCTGACCGCTGTCATGGCTTTGAACTGAAAAGTGTAGTCAGGCCCTGTGGTGTATCACTTCTCTTTATGACAAAGTGGGAGCAAGCCAGACTGGAATGCAGCTCTTCAAATATGCAGGATTAAACATTTTTGCAGGTTTATTGTGGGACCTGTAGGTGGCCTCATTTTAATAGTCAATAAACCAAGAACTATTAGTTCAGTTTGCCAATGAGCTAAGCAACTTTTTGTCTTATTCTACTGAATTTGGAAGCCAGTGACTTTGCTTTTAGTGTCACTGAATACTCTCCCATTTGTTCTGTAAACAAGCGGGTACAGAGCACACTGATTTTATTTCTGAAAGTGCGAACATCTGTTTTGTTTTCACCCTTAAATTCCTTCAAGGATGGGAAGAGAGAGGGCATGATTTTGAAATCCTGAGTTGGGACCAGTGAAGTAGCCACATACCCTCCCAGACCACGGGTGAAGGAGCAGAGGACCGCTGGCCATGCGCTGACATTAACCACAGACATGTTGTAACATACTGAACAATAAGAAAAATCACATATTCTGTTAGAGAAGGCCTAACCTCATGGCTTACCAAATTCAGTTGGGTAAATGGACTGCAAAACAAGGCTAAGTGAATTAAGACTGAGACCTTTCGGTACAATCAATAGAGGACCAACATACACATCCACACATGGCATCGTGTTTGCGATAATGCATTTTTCAGTGTCACACCAACAGAAATGCTGACTTGTGTTATTTAACTGAGCCATTTTTGGGGTGCGGAAGAAGAGGAAATACAACGGAGCTTAGCTAGTGCTATAGAAAGCTCTACTTTTGTCAGCTGTTGAAAGGGCAACACGGTCTCATGCTTCACACTAGTACATCGGGCAGGTCCTATCCCATGGGTGATTATTGTCACTACCTTGTGTTGGGCCACTGGAGGCAGGCTGCGTGCTACACTTTTATCTTGCCTTTTACCCTGAGAGACGACAGAGCCTTCAGACACCGCTTAGCTGTGAGTACAAGTAAGAGGCCAATGCACTACTGCACAAGGTCCCTCTCCTTTCTTGGAGTGATGCCTTTGCTGCACGCATCCGGATGTCAGCCTGCCCATGTCCATGGGGGGAATACATGCTATAGCCACTGCGGTAAGGCCTCAGTTTCAACCAGTTCACATACACACACTGTATTTTTTTTAGTGTATGAGAGCTGATATAGCTTGTGAAAAAGGCTTATGGTTAAGTTGCCTTTAATATATGGAAGCCATATAGCTACAATGACAAGAGAATCACAAAGCATTTTGTTAACTGGCCTCATGTGCCTGATCCCGCCACCACTGCTTCTCCCACCCTGCAACCAGGGCACCCTGGGGAGCAGCAGGGAGAGCATCTCTTAGAAATTTCCCTGGTTTTGAAGTGGTGGGGTGTACACGTGTCAGGCACAACTTCAGGCTCTGCACTGCAAAACACAGCCTGCCTTGAGCTGGACTTGCAGTGCAGAGCTGTCCCTCACATCTGCTGCCATTCCAGTAGCAGCAAGAGGACCACAGGCCTGCGAAGATCTGCTGCAGCAGAGCACCTCTGGGTGCTGACAGGCTGGCTGTGTTATGCTGGGAGCGCAGGGCAAAGCCACCACCTCACATCTCATTTTTGTGGGTATCAGTGAGTCCCTCATTTCAGAAATATCAAACTATTAGAGTTCTGAGAGGGAACTACAGTGGACGTGTGGGAGGGAGAGGGCTACAAGGGATTCATTTTTTGACTAACGGGGATTACACTACACTTGTAAAACAAGTCTTCAGTGTGTCATCTGTTCTAGGATGCTCTGCAATGTTTGAGAACAATTAGCAAGTAAATTAATTTTGATTGATTTGAACTCTCTGGTTCCCATGAACACAAACATGGAAGCTGGTTTGAAAACAGCCTGCAACTCCTTCCCCTCCATCGCACCTATCTTTTAAAACCCACTGCAGAGCTGATCTACTGAGCGGCCTTAACCTGCTGCCCACAGGGCATTCCAAACCTGCATCCTTGCAGATGAAACCTTGACAGAAACCAACTTTCCAGGCAAATTCCTCCACCGCAGACTGAGCCCAGGCGCTGCGGGGCTCCTATGGCACGCCTGCGTGCTACATCCCACATTGCATCCTTTGGAAAAGGCCAAAACTTCTGCTAAGTAAAAGTTGAGCCTTCCTCTAAACATTTCCCCTCTCTATTGGGCTGGGTGCTTGTGATAGTCTCTCAAAAACAGGTAAGTGTAAGGACACCTGGTACCCTGCAGCGCTGCACCCCTGCCAGAAACCTGCCGGAGATAAAGTGCTGGATATGTAATATTCACAGTAAGTTAAGAGAAAGCAAAGTAAAAGCAGTTCCCTAAGGCATGCTGCAGTTAGGGCCTCAAAAACCTGACACAAAACCAGATAAATAGGGAAGGAGAACAGAATTATTTATAAAGAAATTTATTTTATATTTGTGTACAACAAATATATGAAAACAAATTTAATTTGAAAAATGTATATTCAATTTCTTAAAAGTATTGAACCCTCTTAAGGAAAGGTTTTAGTTATTAAAAAGGTACTGAAAGCTAAAATTATACTTGGGTAATATATGCGTGTGTACATATATATATATAAAAAACATGTGCAATTTTATATATATATAGTATATATAAATAACATGTGTGACACATGATATTTTAAGGTATGCTATTTAAACATCTGAGTAACAATTGAGATATTAGAAAATATAGTTTGCTATTTCTACACAGTTTGCATTCAGTTTTCATAAGCATCTAGACAGTGCAAAATTTAAACATACAGAAATATTCTCCTATTATTCTATACATTGTGCTCAGCTCCCAAGTTTCCTCTGTCACGATCACAACCAGAGTCCACCAAATTTGGAGGGTTCAATACTAGCCCTTACTAGCATCGTCTAAGAGCAATGAAAGGAAATCCATCTTACCTTGCACTGTGCTGTGGTATAGTGTGCGCACAAGAGAGAACAATGCGTTTCCTATGTTAAATGGTCTAACTCCCAGAGATCACATACACCTCACCATATTGACTCATTTCATTGCACTCCATATCCTGCAAAAATAAATCTCCTGTAGGACAGCACACATTACTGAGTACTGAAGTTTAAGTAATATATTTCTTTAACATAAGGCAGGAATATACTGAAATTTGATAACACTTAAATCCAACAGCAATCTGGAATTAAACCACATTTATGCACCACATTTTTATAGATGCTGCCTTTTTTATGTTTATGTCAGAAAATATGGTAGAGAAACCCTACTTTTCTTTAAATAAAAGCAAGGGATAAAAGCAATCCTTCTAGAAGAAATTGCTAAAAAACAGTGGGACCAGGAGAACCTCGACCACCTTGAAACACCAAAGGTCAGTCTGCACAACCTTTCCTGCAGCCGAAGAGCAATTCCTTGCATGACATCTGGGAGAATATTCACGTGAGTAGGTGCTTGCTAGAGCGGAGCCTGAGTGTTTTAGCTCTAAATATTTATCATCCTTATTTGCATCTATTCGATGTTAAGGTATCGTATGCTTTTTTCATGTCTTTCTTATGTTGCTAAAAAAAGGCAATTCTGACCATTCCGTATGCTTTTACGGTAGCTATATTTTAACTGAAGGATGTTTGTACTTTAGATAATATGTTTATTATCACTGACATAAAAACCTCAATCCTGCTTCCATAAAAATCAGTGGTTGCTTTGCTCCTACTAGAAATAAAATTAGATCCAAATATGTTAGTCACGAAGTTGGCTAATAAAAGTAAATACTATATTCATTAAGTCTCTCAATGCTTAAAGGCAAAGTGGTGTTAGCAAATACTGTATGGTATAGCTAAAAGAACGGCATTACGCACAATTCTAGACAAGCTAAAAGCAGCTATGAAAAACATCTTATGGGACAGCAAATTTTGCTACATAAAAATTTCTGGAGCTCTGACACGCTTTTTTCAAATTAATTTCTTAAACCAACCCCCTCACTCGTGTCCTACACTGCAATTACACAAATTAAAGTCTGTGGCCTTGTAGGGCAGTATGCAGTATGCATCCAGACCAGCTAATCTTTAAAATTGGATGCTTCAGGAGGGTCTCTCTCTCATTCCTAAACTCCCTTTTAGCAGAACCTGTGATGTTTCTGAATTCTTGTAGCAACTGACAAGAGCCTGGTGTCATCCCTCATCTACTTCACTTCTCAAGTTTATCTCTGCACTTGTCCATATAATTACCCCCTGCAGATTTCAACTTTAATTCAGATTTGAGTCACAGTTATTGAACAGGCCTCACAAAAAGACAAAGCCTCATTAGTAGCCCGTAAAAATGAGTGTTACTAGTTAAAACCTTGTTTTAAATACCAAACAAAGGGGAAATATAGATGCTGAGACAATGTTTATGTCCTTTCAACCACACCCTTGAAATATTGGCAGTAAATTAGCCAAAGGATGGGCTTTACATCTCATCCATCTCTCTCAGTTGGGAAAGAACAGCCATAACTACAAGTTTTTGCAGGGTGCGGCTGATGCTGGGAGATGGCTGAATACATACGACGAAAGGCTGCGTGCCTCGCAAGTCAGAACAAAGCAGAGATGTGCTAGGAATTCAGGATTTTCTTATGCCCAGAAGTTTCCTATAAACTGGAGATAAACACAAGTCCCATCTCCCACACAAAAAGGGATAGTGTTCAAACCTAGAGTAACACAGCACTAAGAAGAAACTAACTAATGACGCCAAAGCCTCTCAATTTAAGGGATCCCCAAAGCAATCTCAAAGAAAAGAAAGGAAAAGAAAACCTGTGGAGTCAGTCAACACATTTTTCAATCCAATTATATAGTAAATGCACCGGCAGGCAAGGCCTCAGTTCCGAAAACGTGAGGAAGAAGGATGGTGCAAAATGCTTTCATACATTTAAACATTCTTAGGATATAAGAGAGCAGGCAACTTAGAAAACATTCCTTGTAAGCTGTGTGGGATCAGCGCAGTTTTCTGCAGGCTTTGCTTCATCCTACAGCTCAGCTTTGCCTGTTTGGGCAGGACTGGCGTTACCGCTGCCTTCTCCAGCAGTGTTCTTGTCTGCTGGCTTGAAAGATAACGAAGCAGAGTTTGCGCAGTACCGTTTGCCAGTTGGGCGAGGTCCATCATCAAAAATATGCCCCAGGTGAGCGCCACACTGAAACAAAATACAATAGAGTATCACTGTGTCTCCGTGCAGCTTGATGGCATCACAGTGGTGTTAAGCAATGACTAGCAGCCGCTTCCAAGGACGCACATTAGTGCCTACATCACCCTTTCAAGTGGGATTTACAACCTACATTTATTTACAACAGTGATCCAGGAAGATGATCTGAGATACCACGGGCGCCTAAGACTTCAAGGCTAAATTTGCTGGGTGTTTCCCGTCGTGCCACTGTGTATGTTTGGTTGGGCCACTATTTCTGAGAAGCTGCCTGTCCCTCTAATGATCTCATGGCAGGAGCTCAGATAAAACCACTGTGGTGAGGGCAGCACTGCCCACATTTCACCTATTGCTGTAAGGATAGCTGTATAAGAAAGGGGCAACCTGAGCTTTGGGCTCTCTTCAGCCTGCAGCCATCTGCTACACCCCTCGGTAAGAAAACACTAAACCCCTTACTGAGCCCAGCGAGGACCTAAAGCAGTGAAGATATTCTTTGGAGTATGCCCTCATACTATTTTTTTTTTTCTTTCCACAGTCTGGCACTCTTCTGAGCACCTGGGTCTTTTTGGGTGCACCTCTGCTCCTTGCCCCTGGGGGGGATGGAGCTCATCCACTACTCATCCTATACCTCTTTGTGTAGTATATAGGAGATAGGGACAGGTGACTGAAAAAGACCTGTAATGAAGATATGTAAAATATTTCTGAATTAATAAGCTTTACCTGGAAGCAATTATAACCAGGAATGATGCTGAATTTGCTTTTTGTAAGGAATATAAAACTACAGATGATCTGTTGACACTTTCGTTCTGTATGAATCAGCCTCAGATACTTGCAGTGGTATTCAGGGTGAACACTACTGCTCCTGTCTGTAAGAAAGGTAACAGTCCCTTGCTTTACACAAGAGTACGATACTTTGAAGAAGCTAAGCCAATTGATCCTTATTCAAAAATTAGAACCACTGGACATTACAACTGACAACTTATCTGGATAATAAGAACGTCTTGTAATTAGTCACTTAAATTCCACAAGTTCTTTTTTACAGCCTGCCATGAGAAATAAAAAAATAAAACCTTGCACTGGAGAAATATTTATCTTGCACAGGAAAGTCATGCTGCTTTACCAAAGAGCCCTGGCCTTTCAAGTCAATAGCTGATCTCAGTGAGAGCCAGAATGATGTAACTGAGATCACAGAGCTGCTCGTGGGCTCACAGTCAGACAGCAAAAATTAAAGACTGCAAATGATTCTTAACATGCAATTAATTCATAGTATCCCAAATACATAGAGACAATACTGATTATTCTGACCTGTGAATGAGTTAGTGATGGCAAATCTCTACCCTGCAGTTAATGTGTTGCTAATGTTCTCCTGCTGTTACGGCCCTTAGTTCACCAAAGCAGTAGGAAGGGTGTCTGTAGAAGCAGGTGAAGTCTTCAGCTTCAGGTTAAACTCTCTCAACAGACTGAAAGGCTGGGGGCGGCGCTCAGGCCAGCTAGGAGGGACAGAAACCCTTCTCGTTTAATGACAGCTGAAACAACAATCCTCACTGACTCTGGGAGCAGGGCAGGTAGGCATGTGAAGCCTCAGTGCTCCTGCACATCGGTCCCACCTGTGCAGCCACATCCCAGGCAGGCTCCCAGTGTCACTGAAACAGCCACGGCAGTCCAGCAAGGACCCCAGTAACAAACGAGGGCACTTCCAGCCCATGGTATCAGCAGGACAAGCTCCCAGAGGCAATGGGAAAAGGCATGGATGACTTTAGGTTAAGCAGCAGCAGGAAGATAAAACATGGCAAATAAGGAAAAGGTAAAGGAAAGTTGCATGGGAACTAGAGCAGACAAAGCTTCAGGTCTTGCTCCTGAAAGACTGCTGTCTTGCCACCCTTTCCTCTATTCTCCACTGCTTATTTTATTTCACTGTCCTTTAGATTGAAGGACTTTTAAGGCAGTTTGGGCAGAAAACCTGAGCTGGTTCTCAGAGCGCGGTCCCTCCCAATGAGGCATTTCACCTGATTATAAAGCTTCTCCTTAGCTTGGGGGAAAAAAAATATCTAAAAAAACTTAAGTGTCCCAGAGAGACTCTTCCTAAATGCTCAGCATTCTAATTAAATCATCGCATCTCAACTAAGAATGCTTCAAAAACTCCTCGCTAGAAGTGTTAAACAGGTCTTTTCCAGATTAACTTTTAACCAAAGATAAATCATTCCCTCTCCACTGGACAGAAACAGAACGAGAGAAACCATAGAGAGAAACGGTCTGCAGGAGTAATATACTCACATACAGGCTACAAAGACAATCTATCAAAAAGGTTTTCCTCACAAAAACTGAGAAGCTGTGTCAGAGTCCAAGGTAGTCTCATTACACCTTCTTGTGATGGCAGAATCACACCAGGATTGGATTACTGCAAAATTTGTTACCTTTTGAGATTAGCCCTCACCAAAAATTTATGTGGCGATTCTCTCTGTAGAGGACTCTATAACTCATCTGCCCTGAAAAGAAACGTAATTCAATCCTTTGTATCACAGTATAAGAAACCTGGCCCTCAGCTGAGAGTACAAAGGATGAATTGATTTTACTGTCCTCCCCACACATAATAGGTGCCGACCATTCTTCTAGGACATATATACATGTCTGCAAAGCCTCCCAGAAAGAAACGATCATCTGTTGCGGCCTTGCACATAAATAAATTGGGCAGAATGCACTGGGATGGTGAAACAGTTAGAGTAAAGCATTTGAAATATGTGTTTGGGAGCAGGAAAGGGGGAGTCACTGCTAACTGTCAGTATGCTTGGATCTCCCAAGCCTCCTGGTTCTAATATGCTGCTGGGAGGCACGGAAAGCAGCTTGCAGTCAGCTGCTGTAGCCGAGTCTGAGCTACCAATATGCAAACAGTACTTCTGTGTCTATAGAACTTTATTGATTTGTACAGGTACAAATAATAGCTGGGGAGACCTCAGGGGAAGGGACTCTTGAGCAGGAAAGAGAAAAAAGAGATGCAGCCAGTTCTACAGTATGCCTCAAATGCATTTGTAATTAACTTCTACCTGTCACTAATCATTGACCTTTTAAATACACCCAGGGCGATGTGTTTCCAAAAAACTGTAAAAGTTATTTCTAGGATAATCCCATGGATGACTTTGATTAATATTGCAGCAATTTTCCCCCAGTGTTTGCTTTCTATAATAGAGTACTTTAAAAGAGAGGGGTTTTATTCTCTCAGACAGGTGGAGGGACTTTCAAAGAAAAATCAACTACTTTTTCATCTGTACAGGTTAGTAAGATTTTGGGTGTGGGAGAGGGTACTTCCCTCCAGTTTTACCAAGGCCTGCCATATCGATCCCACTGCTTTCCAGGCTGCAGTAAAACTGCGTTTTCTTGCAGCTGCATGTGTGATTCACATTCCTAGGGCTCCGAGGAGAGGAGGAAATGGTTTTGTTATGGATATACAATGAGGCGGTATTAACTGTGCTGAGCGGTGGCTGCAAAGATGCTCACCACTCCTCAAGCTATTTTCTGGCATGACTTGATCATCTGTGGGGTTATTGCCCCTGGAAGTTGGAGTAGCTGGTAGGAAGTTGCCATTGGATTATATAGCAACCTTGGTCGCATTTTTTTCTTAATGCTTTAAATTCAGTTTTTGGTTTTGTTTTAATTTTATGCTGTCTGCATGTGACTGCTGCTAATACTGCTGCTTTCAGGTCTGCTAACACTATTTTGTTTGGCAACAGGTAAACGACATTCCCAGATTCCTTGGCCTGACCACAGGCTGCATTGGGCTTCTCTCAGGTGAAATCAGGAGCCCTGGCTCTCTCTTGAAGGGTGTCAGCAGATGCAGGCTCAGCAGGTTGGCAGTATGCTGATTTTAGCACTATTCAGGCAAACTAACCAGAGCTGAAGAGTGGGCTGCATTTTTGATTATGCCAGTAATCAAAGGTGAGGCACAAGATTCCCAGTCTGCAGTCCCATTGCTACCTCGCTAGGGAATTTAGGGAAATGGATGTTCCCAAAAAGTGTTAAATGGATCTTCTAAAGCATATCATCAATATAAAAACTACAGAATTATGTAGTACACATGACATACTAGCAGGCATGCTGATTTGACCATTAACACGTTGGGCCAAACCCTCTACCTAGACTGAAATTAATGGATTCTCCATAAAGACAATCTTGCCTCTTTTTGAGGAGCTTCTTAACTCACTCTGAGCATTTATATATGAGGACTGACTGACTAGTAAGGATGGGTATTGTCAGGGATGAAATCAATTATCCCCCCACCAATACTGTCTGGAAAGAGAACAGCAAATTATCCCGGCCCAAATGAAGCTGCTGCTTCTCTCAGGAGGAGTTTGAGCATGTGGAACTAGAGGACTGCAAGTTGCTGGGTACATCTGCCGAACGCCAATGCAGCAGCTCCTCCCTTGGCTAGGTAATGATTATGCCATTCCCTTCGCAGAGAGGAGGGCAGCACAAAGGATGAGAGAAAGTAGAACAAGACAGATAACGGAAAATTTGGGCATGTTTTGAATGACTACTGACTTCATTATTACGGCAGATGGGATTGTTTGAGGCAGCCATTAGGACTGCGCTGGGAATCAGTGTTGGGAATGAGTTAGCACGGCTGCACAGTAATGCACAGTGATGGAATCAGCACACAGACAGTCGCTCCACTGCTTTTAACTTCCCTCTCAACTGCTCACGTGTGTAGCCAGTCGGCCAGGCTCAGGAGCTCCTTTGAAGGCACCCTCTTCAGGAAGATAATTTTTGTAGACTCAGCACCGAGTCCAACCATTTACATCTGCTCTGTTAAATCTCACACGAGACAACAACGTGCATTCCAATGAGCCCTTTGTGCCTTCAGCTCGTTCCACCCAGCTGTTATACCTACAACCCATTGTGCGCTGTCACAATGATTACTGTTTAATGGAACTGAAAGGTTTGCAAATCTCGGGGAAAGTACAGCACGCTGTAATGATTTTTGCAGCCTTTGCCATCGGAATGGTCTGTGTGCGCTATAAACTAACCTGACTGCAGGATATTTCAATCCGATGCATCCCATAGGAGAAATCATCATTGAAAGTAACTACATCAGGACTGATCACATCATAGAAGGAAGGCCAACCTGGAAAAGAGGAACAAGATAAATAAGAAAAGAGGGTGTCTTGGTGGCAGATGGCATTGTGAAAAGCAAGACAGAATCACACTTCGAAATTTTTTTATCTCACTCCAAAGCCTGGAAATAACTGAAATTGAGATTCTGGATCCTAAATCACTTAGGTACTTTGGAAAATTTCCACCCTAAGTACAGTTGTTTACAGGCAAGGCCTAAGCTGCCACCAGCTGTCCATCTTCCATCTCTTTTTTCATCTTTTCTTCCATCTCTCTTTTTTCAGTGGTGCTCAGTGATAGGACGAGGGGTAATGGGCACAAGCTTGAACATAGCAATTTCCATCTTAACATGAGGAGGAACTTCTTTACCTTGAGGGTGGTGGAGCACTGGCACAGGCTGCCCAGAGAGGTTGTGGAGTCTCCCACTCTGGAGACATTCAAAACCCGCCTGGACACTGTCCTGTGCAATCTGTTGTAGGTGACCATGCTCTGGCGGGGGGGTTGGACTAGATGATCTCCAGAGGTCCCTTCCAACCCTAACCATTCTGTGATTCTGTGATTCTGTGATCTCAACAGGGATTCCTGCACTCCACTGTGGTCAGACATAGCAGTTTAGCTCAGGCACAAAGGTGGTTGCTCAGGTAAGCCAGATTCAGCCTCACCATCAGTTTGAAAAAACACAAATTCCACCCTGAAGACAAACAGCGAGACTTTATGGAACACAAGTGGTTTTGCTTTTGCAGTGTAGAAGTACTTTAAAAAAGAGCTGGTAAGTTGCAATTTAGAGCCCCCCAAAATTGCCTTAACCTTTGCCTTCACCAAGGCATGGTCACGCCCAGAAGGATGTGCTTAGACAGTGACCCATCACACATTAGAGGCAGTGAGATGACTACTACTGTGTCTAATTTCAAAAGAGTAATGACTGCTTCAGGTCAGCCCTGGACAGGTGGAGTCATACCTTTGCCTATATTAGACACTAGTAGATGGTCTGTATGTGGTCTGCATCCAGGATGAAACAAATGCACTTATTAACATCTATGTTTAACACAGCTGCTAGCTGAGCTCTAAGCAGCATGACCTGACACCAGATGATGATGAGGTGTACACCTGATCTACCAGTAATGGCCAATTATTATCTAAATAATGACTTTCCACTCTTTTAACTATTCCATGCCAAGTCTCCCCCACTCCACAACACAGGTCAAAAACAATGCAGGTCTATTCAGTGTCCCAGTAGATACCCATTACACAGCTGTAACTTTTCAGCCATGCCTCAAAAACTTGTCACCATATGCTCCATTTCCTGAAGCTGGGTTCCCACGTGAGAACCCAATAGGCTTTAAGGTCACGTCAACATCTACCAGTGCCCATCTGAAATCCCACCGGCTATCTGTCCTCCTCATTCAGTCTCTTGCCAAATATAACATGCACAGGCAGCTCTTGCTCTCTGTGTACTACACACATGCCCACGTATACAGACCTTCCCTGTTTCTTCTTCTAATATCTGTTAAGCATTTGCTACCGATGATTTCATAAAATGACATGCAATAAGCTATTAAGAAACACAGCAGCAGCTGTGAATCACTGCATGCAGATGAATAAAGGATGTATACAGCTTCCCATAAGAAAAATGAGTAAAATTTCCTATACAGTAAAAGGAGGTGTGGAAGCTATCAAGTTTTCTGAATGTGTGTAAAGGAAGTGTATAAACTGGAAAAAAATCCGTATGTCTTCAGTTATGTCTTAAACCATTAAATATGGAAGAACACTTATTAAGATGCAAGCACAACAGGAATACATTTTTAACAAAGAAATACTCAGAAATACATTTATCTTCCTTTTGGGAACAGCCATATAGTAGCATTCCTAAGCCTGCAACCTGAAGGCATTGCAAGCCCCAAGTCCTATGCTTCCAAGGTGCCTACTACCACCACAACTGTTTCCACCCCAGAACTCACTGCAGAAGTAAGTAATTTTTTTTTTCCCCAGAAGTATTGCAAATGGAAGAGTTACAGACAGAAGACAGCCTGAGGAGCAAGAACTCTGAACGGGGAAAATATCCCACAAGACAGGAACTCAAAACAGTGCAGCAATGACAACCGTAAAAAAACAATTTATAAATTCTTCCTTTCATGCAAAATATCCCTGCCAAACAAATACCTTCGCAAACAGAAAAGGAATAAACATATGACAAGTTTTGCAAATGGAGTTATCCTGTTGACAGAAAAATTGATGTCTCCTAATTGGTGGCTCCTTTCCAACACCATTCGTCATCTTCTTAGCAGGGCCTCTGTCTAACGAAAATTGAGGCCTTACATAGAGCTGGTGAGAATATTTTTAATGAAGCTTTTTTAGTTTTTTTTTAATTTAATAATTTTGGAAAACCGACATACCAGTTTGCCCTTGCGTGATGGCAGAGATGTTCCAAAGAGGGAGCTGTTTGGAGCAACCAACTACCTGATTGTGTGAAAGCCTTTGGAGGAGGAACACTTCAGTGCTGCAGAAATTCTCAAATACAACCCTGCCTCCTCCAAAACAGCAATAAGGAGGAAGCTTCAAAGGCTGCTACACAGAGATTGAAGCAATCTGTGTCTTGCTGAGAAAATTATCTTGCGAGAAGGGTTTGGAGGAGACGTGTTTATGTCAGCTTTGACATTAAAGAAAGACCATCCATCCTCCTTTCCCCAGACTTTTCCTTTTGGTCTTCCCATTCACCACAGAGAAATTATTTGCTTTGGATGCACTCCATGCACTTTTGAAAAATGAAGTCATCTGAAACCTATATAAACAGGCAAGCTCCTCCTAAAGTAGCCTTTGTACCCAATTGGAGTGACTTCAGTTTAGGCTGTCAGTTCATGCTACATGTGACACATGTTCCAAAGGCTCCACCACTGCCACATATGGTCCCCAAGACAGGGACTAGGAAACAGACTGTGCCTCCACACTGTTGACTTTTAACTCTCAGTCAAGCCATCTCTTCTTGAGTGACATGGCGGGCCAGGCACCAGCATTACTGTGACGAACCAGTAACTCCTCAAGAGTGACTGAAAACTGAGCAAACCCTGCAACAGAAAAGGTCCTGAAGGGCACAGTGAGACACACTGTCACCCTGCTGACCTTGAGAGGAAGACAAGTGAACTGCTCATTGAGTTGATGAGCCAAACTCACCAGGACATTCAATCCCCTTCTGCTGTCTCATTTCCCCTATCTTGAGCTGAAGGGGAAAGCCCATTTGATATTTGCTAAGCCTCCTCTGGCCATTTTCTCTACTTCAAAAGCCACCAGGAACAAGCTGTAGAAGCAGTCTGCTTGCCTGCACATCAGGCAACTCCCAGCAACGCAGACGGCCAACCAGACCCCTGTGGACTCTTCATGTGATCCTTCTGTCTTCGCAAGTGGTGAATGGCCCAGCAGCGGCCTCCACTTTGTGAGCCCCAGACTCCTTCTCCTGGTGTTCCCAGGCTCCTCCACTCCTGCCCTCCTGGGCGCCTGCCTCCTTCCTAATGTCGGGCTGCAAAATGGCTGACTCCCTCCACGTTTTAGCCTACTTTTAGCCGTGCATTAAAGCTTCAGCCTGCCTTTGAAGTTTATCTGGCTACTTGGGAAGGACATGCTTCTGCAGGAATGGCAGGGAAGAAGCCCATTTTGGGTCTCTTCTGCTTCTGCTGAGCTGAGAGAGAGAAACAGTAACCCTTTAGGGTGGCAGAGACTGAGTGCTGGAGGAAACTGCGCAAACGCTGGTGCCAAGACTCAGCCCTCGCCGGGTGATGGCTCTGTCATGTCCAGCTCACCATGTCTGATGGGCAGCAGGAGCAGGTCCGCTGTCCTTTGAAGGATGGTAACACATAACAGCTAGAAAGACAGAGCTGCTGGAGGGAAGGGGCAAAGGGTAATTGCAGGAGACAAGATGGGGGTGGGAGGAGTCTCCCAGATGAGTGAACAACTTCAAATGACATTTGCGCTTTTTTGTGCATGTGTGCGTGTGAAGAGCCGCTAAGATTTGTGAATTCTTTTATCCTTGAACGTAAAGTTTAGTTTGCGGGAGAGTACAACGTAGTAACAGTCAGCAATTTTTATCACGTTATAGACATTTAAAGTGAGCTCATTCTTATTTTCACAATCACTTTGTATCGCACTGGCAATATAAAAGAGCGTTAAAATAAGAGTATGTTGTGTTTGTGCTCACTCTGATGACCCTGTACATGGGAGTCAGGCCACGATGTCCTAAGGCTCTGTTTCTGGTACGTTAATAAGCCAGTCACAGAGATGAATAGTTTTTCAGATATACAGCAAGTATCCTTTCTTGGATCTAAAATACACTAAATAAAGGAATGAAAATTTCTTCTGTCAAGTACTTAAGTGAAAACCATGTGTAAACTGAACATAACTGACAGACCTTTTCCGCTCCATCCTGCATGAGTAATAGAAAGGATCTCATGCTGCTGGGTGTCACACATACTGAGTCATGTCCCGTTCTCCCTCATTCTGGGACATCCCCCAAATATTTTGTAAAAGCTGCACAGCAGTTCTAAAATTCACCCCTCACCCCCTCACCAAAACGAAATCTTTTGTTTTTCCTAATGGTCCCTTATTCTGGCAAAGAGGAGGCAGTGGTTCATGCCTCTTCATCAAAGAATGCTTTCTTGAGAGCAGAGACAGCCTGGTACTGCCCTGGGCAGCAACAGTGAAGAACAGGGAGGAAGGGCAAAGTTGGCTTTGGTAACCTATGCTGGATGCTGCTTTTGCAGCCCCAGGCACAGGGTTTCAAATCATTCAAAAGAGGCATCTTTCTCACTTTCAGACCTCCTATTCTAGGTCTCTGATTAAGTCCATATTACTAATGAGCCACCTAAGGTGGGCACCTACACAGGCAGCTGGCACAAGGTGGGTATCATGACAACACAGGCAGCCAGCACGCAGCAGTCCCAGACAGCCGACAAACTCAACAGTTTGTCTCCTTCTTAAGTTGAGATGCCAAAGCAGTTGTAATGTCTGAGTAAGGCAGTGACAGCA